AAAGGGTTATCAAAGTTTGAATTTTGTTCTCATTGGATGTGGAGGTCTTATCTTATAATTTAGGTGAATAATAATGTTCTCTCCTAGCCCCCACTTAGATTGTGATCTTTTGGTATGACGTTATGGCAACTACCTCTCTCAAGTTTCAAAAGAATAATCCCCCTTGATTGTAACCATGAATTAACATCACTTAGATGGGGGAAAAATTAAAGAAATAAGACAAATGTAGCCGTTGATTGGTCGAGCTTTCATACTGAATGAGTATAAGCAATTAATTTATTTGAGTCGCAAAGTCTTGCGCTAATTTTGTCCGTTAGTTTTGTAGTCTCATATTAATAATGATTAAAAATTGTCTCATATTAATCCCTCAAATTTTATTAGGGCAAGCTGGTACGAGATTAATAAATGATATCTCTGTTCTTGTCACAAAGAATTGGGTATTGTTAATGATTAGTTTTTTATTTTATTTTTTATGAGAAAAGTATGATATTCATTGGTGATTGGTTTTACTAAACTGTATTTAGGACTAGAGAGGGAGATGACCGACGACAAGAGAGAGAAGAAGGAGAAATATAATTCTGAGGTGTGTGTTATATCACCCCATTGTGCCTTCATTATAGTAGCAGGATATGTTATATCATTATCCTAATAGGATTACAATTCTAATAGGATAATATCTAACTTAGGGAATGTTCCAAAATATTCCTAGATACACCAGGATTTACACAATTACATTCTTAATCTAATATGACTCTCCCCCTTGAGTGTAAATACTCAAATAAAACATCGCATTAGGTCTTCAGCAGTTGAGGTAGAATAGTTGATGAAGTTGTCGGAATAACGGGTGAATGCAAGAAAGTATGCATTGGTAGCAAAACTTACAAAATCTCGTTATGGTAAAACCTAAGGTAGGTACAAAACCCATAGACTAAGGAGAAAAATGAGAAGTATGCATAATGTCTAAAACCAACGTCATACGGGACGAAAATAGTGAACTCAATGAAGTATGAACATCCCAAGATGGGTGCCTCATCAAAACCTTGTTAGGCAACAAAAACCTAGTGGGAAAAATGCTCTAATCGTAGGAAAAAGAATACATAAGATCAAGTGAGTATGCTTCAGAATACTCCCTCTGAGTTAGACATAACTTCCAAAAAATAAAACTACAAGCAATTCAACTCAGATAATTTATGCATACCGATTCCTTGGACGAGCTTCTGAAAAGTAGACTTGGGCAATGACTTGATAAAGAGATTGGCCAGGTTGTCCTAGGAATGGATTTGCTTGACTTCAATGTCCTAACGCTGTTGTTGTTGGTGAGAATAAAAGAAGTTCGACACTATATGCTTAGTGTTGTCTCCCTTGATGTATTCATTCTTTAACTGTTCGATATATGCTGCATTCTCTTTAAAGATCGTCATAGAAAGGTCAACAACGGTAGAAAGACCACTAGTGATTTGAATATGTATCATGACTGCTCTCAACCAAAAACACTCACGCGAGGCTTCATGCAAGGCTAGAATCTAAGCATGGTTCGAAGAAGTCATAACTAACGTTTGTTTGGTAGACCTCCAAGATACTACGGTGTCTCCAACAATAAAGACATAGCTCATTTGAGAACGTACCCTATGTGGGTCAAACAGATAACCAGCATCTTCGTAACCAATGAGGCAAGAATCAACCTGGTGACCGAGGAGGTAGGCGACTTCTCTAAAGGATTCATGGGTGTAGAACAAGCCTAAATCCATTGTACCTTTGAGGTATTGGAAACTGTCTTTAACACCATTCCAATGTCTACGTGTAGGCGCATTGCTGTATCTAGCCAAAAGATTAACAGTGAAGGAGATGTCGGGTCTAGTGTATTGAGTCAAGTACAATAAAGCACCGATTGCACTTGGGTATAAAACTTCAGGCTCCAAAATCTCTTCCTCATCTTCCTTGGGATGGAAGGGATCTCGTTTAGCATCTAGCTTCCGAACGATCATAAAAGTACTCGAAGGCTTTGATTTATCCTCATTAAAACATCGTAACACCTTTTGGGTGTAGTTTGATTGATGTACTAGGATTCCATCCAAACAATGGTCGATCTCCAGGCCAAGATAATATAGAGTTTTCCGAATATCCTTTATCTCAAATTTCGATTTCAAGTGAAAGACAATTTCCTCAAGCTCTGCAGGAGTTCCGATGAGGTTCATGTCTTTGACATAAACTACAACGATTACAAATCCAGAATGTGACTTCTTAATGAACACACATGGGCATAGTTCGTTGTTCACATAACCCTTACTTTTCAAATATTCACTCAGACGGTTATACCACATCCGTCCGTATTGTTTTAATCCGTAAAGAGATAACTTTAATCTAATCGAGAGAGTGTTTCGTGGTTTAGAACTATTTGAACCAATCAATGGAAGTCCTTCTGGAATTTCATGTAAATTTTCGTATCTAGATCTTCATAAAGATACGTAGTTACCACGTCCATAAGCTACGTATTTAGTTTTTCGGAAACTAGCAAATTGATAAGGTAGAGAAACTTTATGACGTCCATTACGGGGGAATACGTCTCCTCATAATCAATATCAGGACGTTGAGAGAAGCCTTGCTTTACGAAGCGTGCTTTGTATCGCACTATTTCATTCTTCTCATTATGCGTCCTTACGAAAATCCACTTGTAGCCCACATGCTTCACAAGTGGTGGAGTAGGAGCTACGGGGTCCAAACACTTTGTGTTTCGCAAGTGAATTGAGTTCGACCTAGATTGCTTGTTTCCAGTTTGACCAATCTATTTTTCGTCGACATTTATCAACGGAACATGGTTCAATGTCATTGCTACGCATGATGTCAGTAGCTATTGTGTACACAAATGCATCATCGATGATCATCTCATTCTGATTCCAAACCTCATTCAATATTGCATTATGGACGAAAATCTCGCAATTCTCCGGAGGCCAGTACGTCTCGTCTAAGACATCACTGTAGTCTAAAATAACCTTATGTGTTGGAACATATGAGTAGGCGATGGTCAGATTTAGACTAGGGTCACTAGTTTGTGCCGTTTTCCTCTTCCAGGGTTGTGAATCTTTTGAAACAGGAGGTTTGCCACGCTTCAGGGTAGAAGCAGATGATTGGCTAGCTGCTAATGTACCATGCCGTGTAGAAGGTGCGGCTGCCCTACCCTCGATGACAGTTCGCCCTTCCAAGGCAGTATTACAACATATGTTAAAGTACCTCTAAGTAGCGAATAATTGATAGTGAATCATAACCTACATAGATTCCCATTCTTCTCTGATGACTCATTTTGGTACGTAGTGGTGGCGCTATTGGCACATAGATTGCGCACCTAAATACACGTAAATACAAGACGTCAAGCTCGTATCCAGTAACCAACTGTAATGGTGAGTGAGGTTGGGTAACGGTAGGCCTCAAAAGAACCAAGTGTGAGTGCATCGGGACTACGAAAGATAGTCAACGGTTCAAAGAAACGAAATAATTTGTTGAATCGTTAATTGCCAAAAAAGTGAGCTTCAGGCCAATAATTTTGGATTAATTGTCAAATTAATGGACTGCGGTCACTTTAATTAATTCAATAGATTGCAACAATTCAAGTTTGATTGTAAAAGCAAAATAATAACTTTCGGGTTAATATTAGCTTAATAGGTAATTATAGGAGTATAGTTAAGAAGCTAGAATGCTAAAAAAATAGCATTGGGTTCGAAAAAAAATCACAACCCAATTCGGTGGGTTGGCTGCCGTGTACGAGTCAAGGCCCTAAATGGGGTATTGGGCCATCGGTTAGTTGCAAAGCAATCCAAGTCATTGCTGCTGGCCATGGACCATGGGTCTAGGATAAAGCCCAGCAGCTAACCTACTGGTTTTGGACCACAAAAGGAGCGGGAAACACTGGTCTGCACGGGGTTGGCTTGAGATGGGTGTGCGCAAAACCCAGTAAAAGCTGGCTTTGTTATGGATTGTTTCTGGGCAAGCCCAGCCACAAGGGCTGGCTTGTTGTGGTCTCGGGCTGAGGCACTACAAAGCCCAACAGAAGCTGGCTTTGTGGATAAGCCGTGACATGGCGAGCCCAGCAGCCATGGAAGTTGCAGGCGAGCCGGGGCTAAGGGACGAGCCCGCAAGCATCAGGCTTGCTGGTGATAGACCTAGGGCGTAAGAGCAAGCCCAACAAAGCTTGTGTTGGAATAAGCTAGGGCTGCATGCCCGTTTCATAAACCCAAACGAGGCTCTCGGCATGGTTGTCCAGTGCGGGCAGCAGGGGTCAAATGTCAGATCGACATCGTCCTTGGCACGACATGGCTGTATGCCAGCCGACATTCGTCGGTGATAGTAACGGCGCAACGAGAAAAAATCCTAGATTTTTACCCCTTTTTCTTTCGAATTCTAGGGTTAAAAACCTAATTGCTTCTAAATTAATTTCGATGCTTTGACTCACAAATTCTACATAGCATAATTGTGTAATGCATGAACAAATAAATGAACACATATGCAATATATATAATTGAAAGGAAAATATAAATATAGGAGGTTCATGCATCTTGAGAAATGTTTTCATGCTTCAAGGTTGTTTCAAATATCTTAATTTAGTTTAAAAGAACCTGATTGGCATAAAATAGTTGAGCTTTTGATGTTGTAGAAGAAAGTCTCCTCCACGATCCTTCAGTTCCTTAACTTCTAGCAAGAGCAATAAAATGTTATAGGCCTAATTTACTGAATTATATTTAGGACTAAAGAGGAAGAGGATAGGCGGCGTAAGAGAGGAGAAAGATACGTAATTCTAAGCCGTTTATTTTTCCGTAACGGTATTACCAACCTGAACCCGAGCAAATCACGCACGCCCTTGACAAAACCCGCGAAACACGCGGCCAAATCTCAGCCAATCACGCACGCCCTTGAAAAAACTTCCTCCCTTCCCATTGGTCCGTTTTCTCCACGTCATCACCCTCTAGATTCTGCACCACTTAAAATTTCCCAAAGAAAATTAGGAAAATAGGAACAATCCCGAGAAAAAACTCCCCACTTTCCCCAATCAATAAAAGTTAAACCCCAGAATCCAAAATCCAAATCAAACCCACCACCAAATTCATCCCCAAAATCCCAACATTACAGTTCCGATTCTTCCAAAAATTCCAAATCCAAAAACAATGGCTCTCAAACAGCTGTTTCTGATCCTCCTAACGACACAATTCCTACCGTCTTCTCTCTCTCTGATTTCCGCGCCGGAGCTTCGCCCTCCCTACGCCACCCCCAGAGCCATCTCCGTACGCCCTCTCTCTCTCTGCAATTGGAGTTTTTGGGTTCGGATTGGTTGATTGATTGATTGAGATTTGGTTGGTTGATTTGCAGGATTTGAAGGAGGCGATCGTGAAGGGATTAGGGTTTCAGGCGGAGGATTTGAATGTGTCGGGGTTCGATTTGAGGGACGCGCACGTGGGGCATTCGGTGGCGTACGAGTTCGATGTGGAGGTCGACAACAAGGTCCTACCTTTCAAGCTTCTGGAGGACGTCGACCGCTGGGATTACGTTGATTTGCCCATTTTTCGGGTCGAGGACGAAAATGGGTTGGTCCAGAAAGGCAAATCGGGTGGTGGGTTGCCTCAGGTTTTGGCTCCATTTCAGCTGGCTGGGCCCATGGAGCTCTGGATTCAGGACGCCAAAGACATGAGGATTTCGCTCCCTGTAAGTATTCGGCTATTAAATTTTGAATCGTTAGCCCAAGTTTTTTAATTTTTCGTACAAGCAATAGTCTGAAACTAATTTAAAATATGGGCTAATCCGCTATAGTCAATGTGAGTTAGATGAGATAGAACTAGACTCATAAAATATTTTTGATGAATTTGTTTATCAAAACGTATGCATGTGAGTTTCTTATTGTTATAGAAATAATTAGATTTTGGGGGTGATCTGAATACATGAAAAATGTTTAGCTGGAATTAAATTCAAGATTGGATTCTCACCGATTTTGGTGGCACGAAAACATCACAATAGCAATCCGTCATTTATTCGATGACACAGTAAAAGTTATAACTTGGTCTTAATTTGAAATATATGATTGACAAAATTAAAATGATGAAACCAAAAAATGCAATGTGACCAGCTGATTTGGGTTGAAATTTGGGAGTTTCGGAACTGATATGTTGAATGCTATGCAGCATGATGTGGATGCTGGTGTGTTGAAGAAGGTGATGTTAGCAGAAGGAGCTGTGGTCACGGTGAAGGGTGCGAGGTCTGTGAGCCTACGCCACCCTCTTCAGCTCTCATTGCCATTGAACCGAACCGGCAATGGGTTTGCTTCTGGTCTTGTGACCTTGGCTGAATGGCTGCGCCATGCTTCTCGAACCCAGTCATCTCCGTTGTTGTCTATCCGCATTGTTGGTCCGACTTCCCTCACATCACCGTCATCGACCTCTCCCTCCGTGAACAACAAGCTCAAGCTTAAGCGCCTTGCCCCAGGGCTTGTGGAGTTGTCCTCACCATCCAACACCAGGCCCATTTCCGTTGAGCTGCAAAACCAAGAGACCAAGGCCATTTTAACCCCGAGCTACTTCAGCACGGTCTGGCCCCTTGCTTCCGTCAATGGCTCGAATCCTAACTTGGTGGGTTTTGAGTCTCTACTTGCATCTGTTTTGGGTCCTAAGGCCAATAAGAAAGGATCCTTCAAATTATTGAAGGCAGATGTGTCTGCGCAGACATTTTTGAAGATCGGGTTTGGGGTGGAGAAGAAGCTCAAAGAAGAAGACAGGATTGATTTGAAAGGTTTCCGAAAATGGAGGGCAAAGCCTGAGACCTTAAGGTTGCATTTTGAGGTGCTTGCTAAGGTTGAGGGTGATAAAATCATACCGGAGAGAGTGGTTCCAGTTAACCACGTGTCAGTGGAGGACACCGTGGCACCCAGTGAGCTCTTGGGGAATGTCTCCATGTCCACTGTCCCCCTCATTCATCCTCCGGCAAGCCCCTATACCTTGTAAAGTTTTTCGGTTTAGGGTTTGCTGATACAAAATCTGGAAGTGTAAAGATATAATGATTTTGTACTTTCTTTTTCTTGAAACGTGAGGACGATTTAGATGAGGTCCGGTGATACTACTGTAAAAATTTATGTAATGAAGTTACCGAGGGTTTAAATTAATTTATGAAAATTCAGTAAAGACTTGAATATTGCATATATTATTTACAAATCTCTGTAGGAAACTTGAGAATTTACTAAATTTTACTTCTTGATGAACGAAACCCCCTTATGGATGTTTGATGTTAACTCCATTTTCGCCTTCTCTAATCCGATCCTACGGATGATCCATGAAGAATGTTTAAGTTGCTCTATGGTATTTTGCAGCAGCACAATTGTGGAGCGTGCATAATTAATAACTGTTTTACCTCTCATTCAGAGGCCCGAGTTGGTAGATTTCCTCGGCTCCGCTACGACCAAGCTGAACCTTGGTTGCGAAGAAAGGAAGTTCGGTTACCTGCCACAAAGATTAAGCGTTGTGCTTAGTTATTAGAAGTTCAGAACTTGATTAAGACAACGTTGACGCACAATAAGGCTAGAAGAGAGTACCTCGGAGGCAACAAAAGTGCATTCAACAACACCAGCATCTCCTCTCAAGCCACGGAGGCATGCATACGCAAATTTCACTGTTGTATATGCCTGCGGATTGTTTTAGTGAATTCCAAGACTTGCTAATCTAATTCAAAAAAGAAACAGTATGTATACGATCGAGCAATTTGAAACGACTAACCATTGACAGTGTTGTCGAACCAGCCCCAGCTTTCGCCTGCAAAATTGCAAATAAGATTTTGTTGAAGAACAGACACACAAGAACAACCCCTGGACTCAACAGTAACATGGAAGAACAATATGCGTCAAACCAGATTCATAATTCACAAGCTAAGAGGCATGACCTCAACAACTTCTGTTCCACCGTTTTGAATCCAGTTTGTTAGGTATTCTGTTTCTTCTTTGGTCAAAGAGCAATGAGGCTTGACCTGCATACACAGACACACCGTCTTTTGAATTTTGCACGCTTGTGCAGCAGCCCATTTATTTTGAAGGTAAGATAGGAAAAAACCACGAACAACTGGAACATCAACTTCTGCATGACCACCAACAACTGGAACATCAACTTCCCTAGGATCAAGTCCAAGAACTTCCGCCTGCAAGGAAATTATGCTAGTGGAAAATGAAAAAACCATGAACATAAATGATACGAAGCACACAAACTTGTTTGACTAGTACTTACAACAAAAGTATTTGCTCTCACGACATCGAGCATTGTGACTCCTAGAAGTCGCTTTGGGTCACAAGTGCCACCTTTCTTGAAAACCTCTGCTGCGATAGGAACTGTAGAGTTCACTGGATTACTGATTAAGTTAACAATTGCCTTAGGACAGACTTTTGCAATGCCTTCATAGATGGTCCTGACAATTCCGGCGTTGATGTTGAAGAGATCATCCCTTGTCATTCCAGGCTTCCTTGGAACACCGGCAGGTATGATCACAAGGTCTATGCTCATGAGAGCGCTCTCCAGCTGTGGCTGCCTTAAGAAACCAAGCACCTAAACTTTGCTTATCAGCGCGCGATTAAATCAGATATGGATGACTAAGATGAATCACATCAACTTAACTAAACTGTATATCTTATTCGTTCATATCTAATCGAAAGGTTCGTATACACGATTTAAATTGAGCATCTCAGGTTAGGTTCTCATTACAATGCTTCCATACCTTACAAACATCAACATCATAACTTAAGCCTCATTGTCATTAACTAGGAACCATACAATTTTATAGATTGTAATAACATTTTTGTCCAAAAATAGCGAGAAAAGTAAATTTGATGAAGAATTCATACCACAGCAACCGGTATCCATGTGACTAATGTCAGCTGTGACACCGGGGGCATTAACAACATCATAGAGATGAAGAACTGAAACCAGTGGGTTCATCTTCATCAGCATTGCAAGAGGTTGGCCAATTCCTCCAGCAGCACCCACATTGCCATTTTAAAGCCCGGTGCTCTGCCCTTGGCTCTGCAGTCAGCTCTACTCAATGTAGAACCCTCCACCTTCATCCACCACAACGTCAAACAAAATGACATTAAGGGACCGTTTGAGCCAAATTTTGAAAACTAAAGAAAGTAGCTTTGAATTTTCAGCAACTAAAAAAATTGGCCCCTAAACAAATTTTCATCATAAATTTCAAATAAACTGAATGTTAATTTATGATACTAATTACTACTTCATCAACAAGTTATAAGTTTTTTTTATTTATGAAATAGTGCATCGGAAAATAAGTTATCTCAAGTCACGTAATGCATTTTTATGAAGCCAAAGGAAAACCCGAGTTGGATTCGGCCAATTGGTTAGGGCAGTGTGCACTCTCTTTCACCCAAGTTTGAATCTTATCTATTTACATTAAATCAGTTTAGAATATCGCTTTGTCAAGAAACAAGGAAAACCCAAGAGGGAAAACCTGGGAATTTGGAGGAAATAGATGAACTGAGATCCTTGCAATTGCATCATTGAGCTGAGATCCTATCCAATTTTCTCAAATGTGGCTTTCACAAAATTAGAACCAACAACTTCCGTATGAGTTTGATCCAGACTGGTATATACTGATGTGCTGATGTGGCATGACTCTCCCATTCTTGGATCAAAAAGCAACCCAGAAAGGAATATATGCTAGATTTTGGATTGTCCAATAGCACAGAATAACTATTTTATGAGGTCTATTAGACTCTAGGGGTGTTTGTTTGACCTTCTTAGGTGGGACTGGACTAGACTATACTAATTGCTAGTGTAGTCTGATGTTTGGTATGCACAAGGATTAAGTTTCATGGGATTAGATCAGACTCACTTGGAGTTCTTAGCGAAGCACCCCAAAAAACCCCCGGACTCGTAAGACCTCCTGCACTCCTGTGAGAGAGAACCTCGCTCATCCTGCAAGAGAGTGTGGTCGACGCACTGCTCCCTCATCGTCGCCCTCCTCACCTCATCTATGCGTCCTGCTTGCCCTCAGCTGCATACTGCTCACCCTCATCTGCTCCTCTTGTTTGGTAAACTTCGAATCCGACATTATTTCTTCGATTTGTTTTGCAGATTGTGATATTACTGGCCTTTATTTGATTTAGGTGTTTTGGGTTTGAGAAATTTTCAATAATAGACCTCTGCACTTGAACAAATTAGGGTTTTAATTTTCAGGGTCAAATTGAGATTAGAATTTAGGGTTTTCAAATTTTATGCCATTTTCATATTTCTTTGATTTGTAATTGTTGTTGTAAAGGGATGTTGCAGTAGCATCACAACTGAATCTAACCGTTGTTTATAGCTTGCTTGTGGATCAAACAATCATCCTGTTACTGAATCCTGCAGTGTTCTCCAGAGCATTTATCCCCCAAGTAGTCTTCGGTCGGGCAGTGTGAACTTAGTTAAATTCTCGTCACTTGATACCGATGGCTCATGCAATTCCAGCCGTCCATATTTCATGGAACCTCGAGGACCATGTCCTTCTTCACTCTAAAGTCATCGGTCCCAGCTCTTCAATCTCCAATTCTTCACCCAACCATCACAAACTACTTCTTTCACTCCTCATTAATTTCCCACAAATCTTTGTCTCCAACCATCCAAATTTTTTTGGAGTTTGGAGTTCTAAAACTTCAGAAACCTCACTTTCAGAAAAGTACTTTCCGATTTTTGGAAATTTGAATAAATTTGTCCATCTAATATAATTAGGAGGTTACATTATTTACATTTTGTTTCTGAAGAGGTGTATTTGGGTAATCAATTTTCAGGGTATCTCGATGGTCTTGGAGATGTTGTTGAGCTGGGCCTTGTGAAGGTTGTTGGTGTTTCCAACTACAGCGGTATAATTAGATATTTTATCTATTTATTGTTGATTAAAATTAGCAGTTCAAATCATGGAAAAAATTTCTATGGAAAACTAACCAAAAGCCCTGAGAAACTTTCATTTAACCATAAGGACAAATAATTTCAAAAATGCCAAGGTTATCCTTGACAGAAAAAGACGAAGTATTCTAACTTCCAACATTCAACAGAGTTCACATGAAAGCAAATGACAAAGTTATGGGCTCTAGGAGACAAACCATGCAGTGTATTCACATGAAGGAGACAAGCAAGTTCACATGCAAAACAAAAGTCAGACCACGTTTCAGACACAAATGACAAGTACCAAGGAGATGTGCACATCATTTATTTATAAATAATTTTAATACCATTGTATCCTCATTCAGTCTATATAAGTGGAGTTCCATTCATTGTAAAACATACCTGAATACCCTACTCTTACCATATACTCAGACCATCTTCATACTCTCAAACATCTGTAGTCTTCTTAGCATCCTTGTAAACACTTTCTTGTAAACAATTATCTTTGTAAACATTTCTCTTTGTAAATATTCTATATATCAATAAAAGTTCAAGTGTACATATTCAAGCAATCTCTAAGTCTTAAGTAAGTTTTCTTTCCTTTTAGTGTATTTGTTTAATTAGACTTCTAGTCCAAAATAGGGAAACACTATTGTAGTTATATTATTAACCTGCTACACTGACGATCATACTTTGTTTAAGCACTCTGTTATAGTTGAATGCTTGCCATACAAATAATTGGACATTAACCAGGATACCTTTGAATTCTTCATACCTCTGAGTTCAGTCGTTAAGACCTTATACTTTTATTGTGAGCAAGGTATAAAATATCGATGATATCGAAACTATCGGTGGTCCAAAAACACGGAAATTTCGATAGAAATATCGGGATACTATCGATATTGATAAAAATTGAATAACAACCACGGAAATTGTAAGAAAAACTTGAAAATTTTTATTGAAACTTTGCAGGATGTTTATTTAGTCAATTATCTATTAGTTTATCACAAAAAATTGGAAGGAAATGCATTGCATGATAGATATAACTGATTTAAGTTGATTATATAGCGAGCTGGCAAACATTGTGAGTGTAGAAAATATGTAGTAATTAATGAAAGAAGTTTAAACACACCATAATCATTTATATATAATGAATTAGTACAATATTTTACACTTTATACATTGCATGGTAAGATACATGAGTGACTTAGCAAGGTCTAAAATATTGATGATATCGGAAATATTGGCAGTCCAAAAAAATATCGGTAGTTCAAAAACACGGAAATT